ATCTCGTATTATATATATATATATATATATATATATATATATATATACGCAAACAAGCAAAATATTGACAACTTGGCCTATGCTTAAAACATGTTGAGAGCTCTAAGTGTTCAACCAACTAGGTGGGCTTGGGTTTGGAATTTTTGGCAGTTGACATTCAACCTGAATAACTCATCTCGAAAAAATTCACGCCTAAGAAGCTAATTCTCTATCAGTCCGTCTGCGTGGGACCAAACAATGAGAAGGGACTTACGAAAATCCATTCAACCTGAATATTGGGCACTTGTGGTCAACTGAGAAAGTAGTTACTCACTCGGGTGGGAAACGGTGTAGTTCACCTCCACAGCCACCACCACAACGTCGTTGATTTGGCAAGCAGCTTGGCGTTTGGTTCGCGGAATTCGATCAAGACTTTGCAGTATGTTGACAAGATATCCGAAGACGTTTTCTGGTATTTCACACTAATCAACCGAGGCGAGGGGCTAATCAGGTGTGTCTGTTTTTTGATTGCATTTCTGTTCCTGAATTTTCAAAACTTTTACCGTGTGCCAGCCAAACTTTACTAGGACGGTTAGATGTCGTGCGCCAACTAACACCAACCGAAACACCAAGTCTTTAGATGGAACCCCTCAAATGACAGTTTACATTAAACGATACTTACATTAAAACACTAGGAGTAAATTACAATGTGAAACTTTCAGCTTCATTCACAATAAGGGTAGGATACCGGATATATTTCAACGCGAATAATCAACGTGATTTTCTCATAGTCCAAGAAATGATAAAGATTCTGGACTCGATGAGAAAAGGACGTACTCACCAGCACTATGCATGCAAGTGAGAATTCTGCTCAGTTTGAGGTTCACGACTAGTTAGCTTCCAAAGACCAATGCACGTTCCTGACGCGTACGTGTGCAGTGAAACTACACAATACTTTTGGAACATTCTGGCACATTGAATATGCTACTTTAAATACTGGAAGATGACTTTGAGTTGACAACAAAATATTTGAAGCTTTCTGGTGCCAAACACTCAGTGGATCAAAACTTCAGATAAACAGCTTTACCCAATTAGACATACTTAATTCATTTGGTCAACTCGTGGGCTACGAGAGAAATTCATTGTCCAGTCATTTTCTCAGCTGATGACTCACTTCATCCTTCTGTGCTATCTCCCTATGAAGGCTTTAACGGGTTCGCAGGAGAATCTTCAACGCAGATAAAATGAAAGGATATTACGTGAGCCAAATGGTTATCCGTATAACTCTTCCGTTACATTTTATACACAGTGCGATTTCTGGTTACAGAATACCATACTCATAAATAAATATGGAAGTCTACAGGATAGGCTCGACTGACAAGAAGGAATAGCTTTTCTTCATCTATGACGGTATAAAATAACAAGCTCATGCGCATTCCCTAATTTTCGCTTGCTTGGTACGGCTATATGAAAACACGCTCGAAGTTGACCAACTTCAGATGTAGTAACAGCACACTGCTCGCATTTTTACCCGACCGATTAGCCCATTATTCAAGACTACATTGAGGTGGTGTCGAAAATCACTTAGCGTACTTTGTCTGCATGCTGGGTTGCTTTGGTTTAGTTGCAACAAAAGCACACAACTAGACTAATTGTGAAGATTTAGTTTAATTTTTCTGGTTATTATGCCGTGTAGCGAAAAATGCACACGGTTCCTCCAACCGAGATAAGTATTGATAATGGTATAGTTTAAAATAGCGCTTTGAAGCTTTTATCAACACAGTTACACTGCAAGATCGGCTGCTAACTTATGCTGGCCTGGATACCAATCAAAATGGGAAAAGGATGGGAAATCAGCTATTTAATACCGTATATGGAGGATTCGATGGCTTGAAAACACTGTGCTGCTTGTTCAATGGCCGTATGAACTAAAAAACATGGTATTGTAACCAACTGCAAAAAAATGAATATTCCTGTAGGAAATGCATTAGTGTCTTATCCAGGATTTCTCTATACCCTATAGCAAAATCTATATAATAATAACAGTGTTTAAAGATCTGGAAAAACATGGTATTGTAATCAACTGCAAAAAAATGAATATTCTCGTAGGAAATGCATTAATGTCTTATCCAGGATTTCTTTATACACTATAGCAAAATTTATATAATAATAACAGTGTTTAAAGATCTGTAGTACTAAAAAACCGGTTCCTCAGCCTACGTCTGGGCGTGTCTAGACTGTGTCTGCAGAATAACTACGCACCTAATCAGCTGGTGGTATAGTAAAATCCGTATAAACGCAACATCAGTCCGAGAGGTTTCAAATGAACCTGTTGATTATCATACTGTCAGACTGTCAAAGAAATCTAATTACTAGCATGCCATAACTTCATACCCGATTTCGCTGACGAATTAAAAAGTGCCGAGAAACCATCGTTTATAATAACAACCCAAACTTTTGTAGACATTCGACATACCTAAGTGTTTATGATATGGAAGTGCCTTTCTGTTCTAGTTTGTTGTATCCTAAACGGGGAGATGCTTTTACAGTGATCCCAACTCTTATTTTATAAGCCACAATAAAGTGTTGTACTCTTAGAAACCCATCAGATTGACATTCACCTGATGTTTTTTCTCGTGGTAGTGCAGTACAAATGACCGAAGCAAAGGAATGGTAATCGCTCAACTTTCGTTGATGGTAGGTCGTCCGTTTACGGAGCTGCACGATTTGGTTGTAACCAAATGACGTTTTTAACAAACTAGACTCGCGGATTAAGGGAGGAAACAAGGGGCAAAAACCTCGCACGAAATGCTGAACTTTAAGAGGAATTTGGTTGAGTGTTTTTTCCGAAACCTGTTTAGGGCCAATTTTAATAAATAAAAGCTTGGGAAGAGAAATAATAACGTCTACAGGGTAAGCATGGTTCTGCTGAAACTAAGGTTCCAGTAAAATGGCCATTAGATATCATGACTGTTCGAAGCTTCGTCTCCCAGTCAGATGGGATCATTATACACAAAATCTGGAAAGCAAGGTAACTCTGTGTGTCATTCCTAATATGAACCGGCTTTGATAATAAACTGTTTACGTTCAGAGCAGCGCGCAGCCAGAGCGTTGGAGATCAGATTTCACCGCAGTTTAGGGACAAATTTTCCAGAATTATACTTTAGTTGCTCAGAGCGGTAATACGGAAAACTCCTTGAGAGAGAGAATGTATCTTATCTGAACGATCACTTTTGCTTGTAAAATCGTATAAATATTATGGCTGATTTCAACGTGACCGAACGCGTTCCACCGAATATGTTTCGTCTGATTCACTGGTTTGGTTTGACTGTACATGTTCACAGAAGCAGTAGGGGAATAAAATTTGGAAGCGCTGTGAATAATGTATAATCCACTTTGCACTTTTTTAGTCATCATTGGCCATATGGCACAAGTTGTTGACAGTGTCAATCACTGTGGGGTTGAAAAACACCGTCGGAATGCCAGGTTGAACGTGAATTTGCTGTCATGCTGGTAGGTGATCGTGCACTGCAAGCTGTCACAGCAGGTGGTGTGAATGCCGTCTACTAGAACAGACGGCCGTACATTTTCCGTACATCAGATATAGGATTTTGTGACAGTTTGACTCGTTTTTTATAGCAGAAAAATTTTTAGGAGCATGAGTGTTACGCTTTGGCAAAAGTTAGAGGAAGCAGTACTTAACAGTGAACGCCTGGGTATTCCGTACTCTGTCTTGCTTTAGATGAAGCGGACTGATTTTCCCGTTTGTTAGTGGCCTAAAAATTTTGCAACGACTCTGGGTTATTCAACTATTCGTGCCTTTCTCAATTTCGTTTACCCAAGGAAATGTTC